TTGTTTGTTTGTTTGTTTATTTATTTATTTATTGAGACAGAATGCATATGAGAGTGCACAGGCGGGGAGGGCAGAGAGGGAGGCACAATCTGAGGCAAGCTGTCAACACAAGGCCCGATGCAGGGCTTGAACTCACGAACCATGAGATCATGACCTGAGCCAAAGTTGGATGCTTAACTGAGTCACCCAGGCACCCCATTTTTGGAATGAGTCACGAGTATAAATAAAACACATTTTAGGGTTGTCTGGTGGACCAGTTGTTAAGCATCCAACTTTGGCTCAAGTCATGATCTCATGGTTCATGGGTTTGAGCCCTGTGTCGGGCTCTGTGCTGACAGCTCAGAGCCTTAGAGCCTGCTTTGGATTCTGTGTCTCCCTCTCTCTCTATCCTTCCCTCACTTGTGCTCTGTCTCTGTCTCTCTCTCTCTCTCAAAAATAAATAAACGTGAAAATATTTTTTTAAAGACTACATTTTAAAACATTTTGTTAAACAATTTCACTGAAGAACTAAGTTAACTCCCATTTATTCTCTAGTTAATTTCTTTTCTTTTCTTTTCTTTTTTTTTTTAAATTAAAGCTTTAAGAAAGCAAAGAATGAGAACAGCCCTGATATCCAAAGAAACAAATCTCATGCACCATGGGAAGAAAATGGCCCCCAGAGGTAAAGAGAATCATTGTTTTTCTGAAGGAGAACAGTTGAAGTGGGATTAGCAATTGCAGCTCATTAAATAAGGGAATCCAACTGCTTTGTGCTGGGTATTACTAGCTATGGACATGGCAGTCAGATTCCTAAATCAGCATGACTGGGAACTTCTGAAGTAGAAATCAACAGGATATATCCTAACATGAAACTTTCTCCTGGAAAGAGAAAGCAGTGTGTATTAAGAAACTGCTTGAAAGGTCATTATGATGGGTTAGAATAAGAGAGTATATTTCTGAACTCCAAATGACATACTAATGATAATTTCCCCTCTTTTATTTGTATTTTACTTTATTTTATTTCATTTATTTTGAGAGAGAGCACATGCGAGAGCAGGGGAGGGGCAGAGAGAGAGAGGGAGAGAGAGAATCTCAAGCTGGCTCTGTGCTGTCAGCAGATAACCTGACGCGGGGCTCAAACTCTTGGCTGTAAGATCATGACCTGAGCCAAAGTCAGGTGCTTAACCTACTGAGCCACCCAGGTGCCCCTTACCTCTCTTTTCTTTGAATAAATCTGGTCAGCAAAGAGAGCTGGATGCCCTTGATCCAGTATTCCCCTGAGAGTATGAATACTTGTGTAGATCTGGGCTGGGGTGTCTGCTCCTCCAAGCCCTCTTCGAGCATTGTTGACCATTCCTCTCCCACTCCAGTGGACTCTACAACTCTCCCAGTGACCGCATGAAATCCCCGAAGTTCCCCTCCTCGCGTCGCCGAAACCCCTCCTGTGGGAGCGATGACTCTGTACAGCCGACAAGGAGGAGGTGAGCTGAACATTACCGCTTGATGTTTAGTTTTCAACAGGAAGTCTGGGTCCCAGTTACTTTTTTACCACAAGTTATTCTCATAATATCATGACGGTCTCCTCAGGATAACAGAAAGCTTATGTTCTATTGAGATAAAAGCATTTCTTTTTAAACAGAGTTTCAGAGAATAATTTCATAAAATACTGATAGAAACTTGCTTTCTGTATTGCTATTAAGACTGATAAGTTAAAAATATATATATTATGTACATATTTTAACAATATATATTATATGGTATGTATAAATATATAACATATATAATATATATTAATGATTATTTTTATATATAAAAGATACTAAATGTTCTGACCTGAAAGGACAAAATTACGTTTATAGGTAGATCTTAGCTGAGGCTTGGTGCTCTGTTTTCCAGACTGATGTTGTTGCGTAAATTTTAACAAAGCCCCTTTCCAAATACAGAGAAAATGGATCCTGTTACATTTTACCCAGCAGATCAGGTTGTTTTTGTGATTATATTTGTGTGTACTTATTTGTGTGATTATATTTGTGTGTTTTATTTATTTTTGAGATAGAAAGAGACAGAGCATGAGCAGGGGAGGGGCAGAGAGAAAGGGAGACACAGAATCTGAAGCAGGCTCCAGGCTCTGAGCTGTCAGCACAGGGCCCGACGTGGGGCTTGAACTCACAGACTGTGAGATCATGACCTGAGCTGAAGTCAGACGCTTAACCGACTGAGCCACCCAGGCGCCCCTAATGTTTATTTATTTTTGAGAGAGAGAGAGACAGAGTGGGAGCAGGGGAGGGTTGGAGAGAGAGGGAGACACAGAATCCGGAGCAGGCTCCAGGCTCTGAGCTGTCAGCACAGAGCCTGATGTGGGTCTCGAACTCATGAACCATGAGATCATGACGTGAGCCGAGGCTAGATGCTTAACCAACTGAGCCACCCAGGTGCCCCTCAGGCTTCTAGTCTTGACAAAACAAGGGAGATTATTGATGGGTTTGGATGGGCTAAGTACCAAAGGAAAATACCTGGCCCAGATGAGAAAACGGAGGCTAGGGGGAGGTAAGGTAGCTGTCCTTTGTGACACACCTGGGTTTGGATACAGATCTATATGTCTGAAAAAGGCAGGGATATTAATCATCATTTAAGTAAAGCAGGAGGAAAGATTTCCCTATTAAGGATTGGTTCAACATGGACAACACTTAAAACCAAGGCAATACCACTGGGAGATACTTTAGAGTGCCTCTGTCTTTTGAGAGGGCATGGGTAGTGAGAACTACTAAATATATTAAGAATTTGGCACTGCATGATTATTGTTAAAGACACAGGTTTGTATAGTTTTTCGTCCTTAATTGCTAGTGTACTTTGACAGCATTCCCTGTATAAAATTATTGTACATGTTGAGCAGATGGCCATTTTGATTTTAACACACTTGGAAATGAATTTATCAAGTTTTGCTAAAATATACCAAAATTTACATTTTTTTCCTCAAACTAATTGCTTGCAATAGTCTGGAGTATATACATTCTGAAATCTAGACTTCATGACTTCTATATTGAGATACATTTTCTGTTGGCTTCCTGTGAGGTACAGACAAGTAATTGTGGTGAGTGGATACAGGGTCCTTTCATTGACACAGTCCAGGGGAAAGACTGTTTTGATTCATAGGGAAGAGAATCTTGTTGTCTGAGCGGCCGTAGAGCCTTCTGTCCAGTTATGTGTATCACTTGAAAGGTCTCTTATTGGGCATGTATGGTTTGAGACTAGCCATTGCTACATGTTGGCAAAGAAGAGCTAAAGCTCATTCTTTGTTTCTTTCCACTGTAAATGCCCTCTGAGTGTCCCTGTCCTTGTCAGTCTTGTTTTATCTTCACAGATATTTACCTTGCCCCTGGGCACAAATCCTTACATGGCTAGAGTAATTCTGGCATTTAAAACTGAGATTTGTGAAAAGCGTAGAAGAATCTCAAGAACTTAAATTTAATAATGGGATTCTGTTATTCTATTTTGTAATGGATGCCAGAATAACATGTTTTATAGAAGATATCAAAATTTTATATTTTGCCAGTTGTTTGTCATTAGATGAGTACATCTGTCAAATTCTGGATGAGGTTAGAACATTGACCCTTAACCTTCTTTGGGTGAGAGGACTCTGAGAATCTAATGAAACGTTGGACCATTCCTTAGGGGGAAAAAGTACATAATTAGATATACGTACACACTTTCATGTAATTTTCATGGTTCATGGAGATCCTGAAGCCTGCTTTAAATGTTACTGTTCTAGAAAAAGAAAGCCAGCCTACCTTCTGACAATACAGTTTTCACCCCTATCCATCTTTACACTCAGAAATATTTATTGAGTGCCTACTTGATGTAGGCACTGTGTTAAATATCACCCAAGAGAGTCCCTGCGCTTTGGGAGTTTACAGTTTGTTGAGGAAGAAATATGTGAATCATATAAATGCATGTGCACTTCAGACTTTTATATATTCTTGACGGAGAGTTATGTGGTGCTTAGGGGTATTTTAGAAAACTTTTTATTGAAACCTATCATGTATACGGAAAAGTACACGTGTCCCAAGAGTAACCACTTGATAACTTTGATCATCCAAATACCTGTATAACCAGGACTATTAGGGGAAGTTTTGCTGAGTTGATGAGTCAGGGAGGCCAGGGAAAGGTTCCCAGAGGCTGGATTTTTGAACTGGAATATGAGACAAGAATAGGCAAAGAGAGGTGGAGGAGTTAGCATGCACGGAAGCTTTGGAAGCCTCTGGAAGGGAGTGGGGAACATGCACGAGAAGGCTTACTGGCTGCTAGTGTTGCTCAAGCATAAAGAGTGAACAGAAATATGTTAGAAATGAGTCCAGAGAGAAAACACCTCTTAGGACACCTGAGCCTTGTTGAGGATGTGGGTTGTTAGACCAGTAGATTTTAGAAGGGGGTTATAACAAGATCACATTGGTATCACATAAAGATGAGCTTTCTTGTCCTATGGAGCAAGGGTGGATGAGGGCAGTAGTGGAAAGAGAGAGCCTGGCAGCAGGCTACTGTGCAAGCCCTGGTGAAGGCTAATAGGAGCTTGGGCCAAGATGGTGATGTGAAGATTTAAGGAAGTGGGTGGTTTTGAGACCCATCAGGAGGGTTGGGAGGATTGATATGAGGGGTGAAGGAGTGATAGATGTGAGGAATGAAATCCAGACTTAAAGTGTGATGCACTGAAATAACAGTCACTGGGACATTACAGGCTTGAAAAGGACAACTGTGAGTTTGGTTTTTGATATGTGGAATTTCTGGTATTTTTGAGAAGTTTAAGTGCAGGATTCACATGGATTGTTGGGTAGAAGTCTGGAGATAGATTGGCTGTCGGCTAAAAGGTAAATTTCTTAAAGATGTAAATTGAAATATGAAACAGAGACAAGGTTGTCTAGATAGATACTATAGATAGAATGCAAACACCAAGCCAGTGACAGAGCTGAGGGAAACTCCAGCATTTATTTGGCTTAGTTGAAGAGAGTTACCTTCAAAGGAAATTGCTTTAAGAGAAAAGAGAAATTGTCAAGGAAAAGTCAAAAGAGTGAAAATCTGCTTACTAAAGAGGTACCTTCCCTCTTTATTCCCAGAATGCTAGACGCCAGGTTTGTACCTCCCAAGCATGAGATCAGAGACTCTCGCTGTACGAAAGACAGATCCAAGATCCAAAAGACCTACAGATACCAACTTTCAAGGGATCCTCCAGTGAAATGGTTGAGATTACCCACATTACTTTGCTCCACACCACAGTGAAGCCATCAGTTAACATGCTCTGCACCATCCAGAGGGTTCCAGACTTTTTAGTGCCTAATTCTTAAATATGAGGAGAGAGCCATCATCACTTGGCATTTGAGGATTGCTTCTGTTTGGAAAGACAGAGTCAGAGTAAGGAGCATGTGTATATACTCACAGGAAATAGAGACCATTTAAGAAAGAAAATGTCTTAGAAGTATAATTATCTTTAGAAAAAAGAAAATTTTGATATGAGAAGAACAAGTGGGAATTCCTAGACTTCATATTCCTGTGGCAGGAATAATCAATAGAAGGTTTGGAAGGTAAAGTTAAGGAAATCATCCCCAAAGCAGAACAAAAACAAAACAGATATGTGGAAATAAGGATAAAAATGATCAAACCTAGATATCAAACATTTGACTAATGAAATTTCTAGGGAGGAAAAAAAAAGAAAATGCAGGAGAGGAAACTATTAAAGAAGTAGTATAACAAAGTATAACATATCCCAGACTGAATAATCAAACTTTATAGAGAGAAGCTACTGGGCATTTGGCATAATAGATTAGAAAATTAGATCTATTCCAAGATCCATTATCATTAAATTTTAAAGCATTGTAGGTTAAGAGAGGTTTTGTAAAAGTTGGAAGGAGGGAGGATTATGAGAAAAAAAGTTCATGCACAAATGTTGACAAATCAGAATGGTGACATTGGGCTCATTAACAGCAATATCAGAGAAAGAAGATAAGCATTGCCTTCAAAATGCTGAGGGGGACGTTCTTTTAAATTTAGGATTTTAAGCCCAGATAAACTATAATTACATAGTCAAATAAAGATATTTTGAGAAATTCCAGTTCTTAAAAAAAAAAAAAATGTACCTGATAGGCAGACTTTCTTTGTTAACAACTGAAAGATATGTTCTCCAAAACAAGACAAGGAGTCATGACAACTAGAAATAGGGGGTCCATTACAAAGAAGCAGAAAGAATTCCCTGGATTTTAGTGAAGAGAGTAATCAGAGTGATGTTTCTGCAGCAGTACTAGGGAATAGACCATCCGGATGTGAGCAGGAGGGCACAGGGGTCCAGGGAAGATGTCCTAAGTGTTCATACATCTCAGGAAGAGTTTTGTAGCTCTCAGAGTTTAGGTGAAGAATTAGTGATAAGAATAAGGAAAACTAAGGAAATGATATGTACATAGAAAACCAGGCAATTATTGTCTCTTAAAATAATTGTAAAACCAATACAAGAATGGAATTGTATTCCTTAAACGCTGTATAGATAATCTGTGAACATATATATAGTTGTGTTTATACTAAATAAAAATTATTGAAAATTTTGATATAAGGACAGAGACCTCTCAACATTATGTTGTTTGATATATGTATTTTTAAGAAATGGGGGAATGTGGCATGAGCCATGTCTGCCCATCAGAGTGTGAAGGCACATGTAATAAAGGGTTAAGGAACAGAGATAAGGAGTTTAGGCACCTCTCTTAAGAAGTTTGGTGCTTTGGAGGAGAGAGGAGAGACTGGGAAAAAGATGAAGGGGGATGTGGAGTCAAGTAGATGTGTGCGTGTTTAAATAGTAGAAACTTGATAACGTGAAAAGCTGGTAAAAGAATTTTCCATAAGGACAAGTCAGGGATAAGATAGTAGTTACTGAAAGTCATTGAGAAGTTAAGAGGTGATAGGACCCACACAACACAGGTGGAGAGACTGACCTTAGTTGTGAGGACAGATCTGTAAATAACAGAGGAAGATGTAGGCATTTTTTATTTTTGGTAACAGGAAGATGAAAGAGTTGCCATCTGATGGCTACTTTTGCCTTTGGAAGGAGAGAACAAAGTCAACTGCCGATGCAGAGGGACCAGTGTATCAGAGGGTTACAAGGTAAAAAGGGTTTGAAACTGCTTTGCAGAGAGAGAGTATTTAGATCATAGAAAGGCGTTAGGATGTTGTAGGTTCACCTGAAGTTTATGAACATGGATTTGTAGTGTAACTAATATGCCCTTTTGTGTAACTCCCTCCAGCACTGCTCAGCTAGCTGTTGAAGGCTGGCTTAGAGGACCTGGATAGTTTGATTTACCCATGAATGGGATCTTGCCCAAAAGGCTGAACCAAAAACAGAGAGTTGGAGGAAGTTCTGAGTCTTGGCATACATGTTATCGAAATGAGGGAAATCTCAGTTGAGTCAGGAAGAAAGCCAAGAAAAGCTGACGGAAAGTAGCAAGGTCAATAAACAAACGGTCCTATTGAGATCAAAGAAAGGTAGAATGGAAGTAGTGGAAAAAAGCAATACTAATAACAGCTAACATTTACTGGGTGCTTCAGTGAGTCAGGTCCTACTCTGTGCATTTTAAATGTATTAATTCATTTTATCCTCATAACAACTCTTGTGGGAGGTTCCATTAAAACTAAAGCACTTAGTAGAGAAGTAAAAATTACACAACTCCTCAGTGGAGGAGATGGGAGTCACGTTCAGGTTGTCTGGCTCCAGAGCCTGCATGTTTAACCAGGAGGCCCCATCCAAGCTGTTCAGAGGTATAAACAGGAAGGGGAAGAGATTGTGGTCACAGACCAAAGTTTGGAGGTGGTTATAGATGATAATGTCCAAAGTGTGGCCATGATGTGGATTGCTGAGTTATCGTAAAGAGATCATCCGAAAAATGGTCAAGGGACTTGGTCACAGGCCAGGGTGTTGGAAAGGACATGTAAGTGAGAGCTGACGTCATTTAGATTATGGCAGAACTTGACTGGGCAGATTACAGACCTAGGAACTGCAGACAACCCTAGTGTCAGATGAATAGAATTTAACAGACATGTTGTGCATTGTTGTTTGTAGACTGTCTGCAACCTCTGTTAGGTTGCTGGCTTTTTGAGGCCAGTGTTCTGTTCTACTTCTGGGACTGGGTGTATTGTGTGATTTAAATATTTGGTGAATGAAAGAATACAAAACTGAGATGCATTAACTGAAGTGAAACTCATTTTGCTGTGTTTTCCTTAGCCAACTGATCACTTTCTATTTTCTTTAATATCTTCATTTATTTGTTTTCTATAGGAAAGCCCATAACAGTGGTGAAGACTCAGATCTAAAGCAAAGGAGGAGGTAAAAAAGTAAAAATGGAAGGAGGGTCAGGGAGAGGGAGGAAGGATTAGCACTACTCAGAGTTGAAGCAAGAACGGGGATTTTTTTGTTGTTGTCGTTATGATTTTATTAGTGGCTACTTTAAGGCTATGATCAAAAAATTGACTTTCAAATGTCACTTTTGGCTTCAGTTGTTTCTCAGTCTTACCTTCTGTAGCATCCTTAGCAATTTCTCTTTTTTTCTGCTTCATTGTATCTCAGAGGAACTCTCTTGGTTATCTATTGCTATATTAAAACCACCCCAAAACTTAGTGGCTTAAAGCAACAACCATATGTATGTTATATGATTCTGTTGATGAACAGGGTGGTTTCACTAGTCTCACATGAAGCTGCAGTCAGATGGCAGCTAGGACTGGAATATTCAAGAGGCCTTTCTCTCTCATGGCTTTTGTCTTGGCGGAATGGTAGGAGGCCTGGGGCTTCTTTCTCTCTATGGTCTCTCTCCCTGGCTGGTCTAGGCTTCTTGAGATGGCGGCCGGGAGGAAGCAGGAGCTACCAGCCCTGTTAAGAGATAGTCCTGGAGCTGGCAGAGTATCCCTTCCATGTCATTGTGTTGATGAAGTCAGTCACAGGGCCAGGGCTAATTCAAAGGGAGGGGAAATAGACTCTACCTCTGTCGATGGGTGGGGGATGTGACAGGACTTTGTGTCCATAGTTAGTCTACCACAGGGACTTAGAGCTTTGCCGTGTCAGAGTGCTGTTGGAAGTGCTTGATTTTGTGGTCTTTTTGGGGAGCATGGTGACATTTGCCTTCATCTGCTTTCACATGTCTGTAGACTCATTCAGATGTCTTACTGAATTGAGTAACACTGACTGAGGGAGGGATGATAACTTATGTTTGGCTAAGTCATTTCACTGCAAAAGTCATTCCAAAGAACCAATATGAACTTTCCTGAAATTTTTTTATTTGTCATAAATGTGGGTTTTTTTCTTTTGTTCTTCTCATTTTGTCCTCAGGTCACGCTCACGCTGTAACACGAGCAGTGGTAGTGAATCAGAAAATTCTAATAGAGAACACCGGAAAAAGAGAAACAGGTAATATCTGAAACCGTAGTTATCTGGAACTCCAAAATCAGAGGTGGCTGCTGGTGGTAGAAGCTGTGCATCCTCTATTTTTAAGCCTGATTTTCTCCTCTGTGTTTAATAAGGAATCTGGCACTGTTTTGAAGCACTATTTTAGGAAACTGCAGCTCTTTGAACTGAGCGTCTGATCTTTATAATAAGATGATTAAATAACTTGGCAATCAGGGTCTCTTCTTGTTAATTAAAAAAAAAGATGATCTATATTTAGGTGCAATGTGTAGTGAGTTTGTTTAAGGATGGTAAGAAATTTTGCCATTTTTAGAGGAATTTCTCCCTGAAGTATCTTTTTTTTTTTAATTTTTTTTAACGTTTTATTTATTTTTGAGACAGAGACAGAGCATGAACAGGGGAGGGTCAGCCAGAGGGAGACACAGAATCTGAAGCAGGCTCCAGGCTCTGAGCTGTCAGCACAGAGCCCGACGCGGGGCTCCAACTCACGGACCTCAAGATCATGACCTGAGCCGAAGTCGGCCGCTTAACCGACTGAGCCACCCAGGCGCCCCTCCCTGAAGTATCTTTTAACTGACATTACCATATTTTGCCCAGCCAAAACGGAGAGACTCATTGTTTCATAGATGTACATGAAAATATGCATTTATATTCATGTCAGGAACATACAATTAGATGGATAAATGTATTTAGTTCATATCTTTAAGACTGCTATTTAAAGGCTCATTCTTAAGAGCTTGTTAATAATATCATTTAACATGTACTCAGTATTAGTGATAGCTTAATGCCTTAATCAGTTCTCCCTATTCCCAAAGTATTTACTGAACAAAAAGTGTTCACATAGTGAAAGAGCACCATATGAGGAATGAGAGGGATTTGGTTTCTGGTTGTCTCAGCTTCTAACGCAGTGGTTCCCAACCGGGGGCAATTTTGTCCTGCCCTTCCACTCTCTGAGGACATTCAACAATGTTTTGAGACACTTTTGATTGTCACAATTGGGTGGGGGGATTGCTATTGGCCAGGGGAGCTACTAAATATCCTGCAATGCACAGGACAGCCCTCTCCCACCCAAGACGTATCTGGTCCAAAAAATGTTAGTAGTGCCACCACTAGGAAACTCATTCCCACCTCATGGGGAGCTCTGGCCTGGTTGCTTTACTTTTCTGGGTCGTCTTTTTCCCTTGTGTAAAGTGAGGAAGTCAGAGGAGATAATCCCTAAGGTCTCTCTTTAGTACTTGAAGCCCTTGTGCTTGGCACACACTGAATTGTCCTGCCTAACTCTAAAGCCTGTGTCATAATAGCCCAGACAGCATTGTAAGAGCGGATCGTTTTCTTAGGAAAGTTTTCTCTGTGGAACCTTCTTAGGGGCTGGAGTCACACTAGATAGAGGTAAGATCTCAGTGTGTTATGACACCCTTCTCAAGGAAATGATTATGGTTTCTTCATCTGCAAAAGCCCAAGTGTGGAGGGTAGCTTTCCCTCAGGTGACTTCTTCCTACTCTGAAATTCAGTATCTGCATAAACAACACAAAACACAGCAAAAAACAAAAAAAACAGATTTCCCTCCTATTTGTACTTACTGATCAAGCCAGTATCTTAACAAATTTATTTGTTTTGCTTGTTGTATTCTAAGTTATGCTCATAGATGCTCTGGTCTCAACTTCTCAGAAGGTGACCTGTAAAAAAAAATTGTCTTTTGGGGGCACCTGGGTGGCTCAATTGGTTAAGTGTCCAACTTGGGCTCAGGTCATGATCACGCCGTTTATGAGTTCTAGCTCTGTGCTAACAGCACAGAGCCTGCTTCAGATCCTCTGTCTCCCTCTCTCTCTCTCTCTCTCTGCCCCTCCCTCTGCTCTCAAAAATAAATAAACTTTTAAAAAAATGTCTTTTGGGGCCCAAAGTGCTCATGGTGACATTTGCTGTTACAAATGAAATACCCTGTAAAAGTTGCCAACAAGTCCTTAAATAGTCCATTCCTGATCTAGTTGGAGCAGCTTTAATATTCCTCATAGGTGTTTTCTCCCTCACGAGTTTCTCCCTTTGCCTTCCATGAGTGATTTTGTAGATTGGCTTTCTTTGTAGTGTGTTAGTAGTGTATTCTAGAGTGGTGGTGGCTCTGAATGTTGACATGCCATTATACTCTGTAAGGTATTAATGAGAAATCACTTTCAAACACACTCTGACCCAAAGCCTTTCCAACTCATTTATTTTGCCAGTAGAAGTACTGCCCCAGGGTTACAGAAGTTGCCTATTGTCTGTGTAAGATGGAGTCTAGGGTCGAGTTCTCAGGACCCTAGCAAAAACTAGGCAGAGGGGAAAATATGTCTTCTAGTTCTATTTTCTCCTGAAAGTGGTGCAGCAGGTGACAGTGTGCAGGGAGGAAGGGGGGACAGAAACATCGTATTGCCTTTGGGTGCTGTTTCCTCATTATGTTATGCTATCGCTAACCCTTCTGTCCAATTATTAGCCTTTTAGATTTTGCCAGAACCCATTCATTCCACATCAGGATGCAGAGATCTGAATATTTAAACTGCAGCCCTACTGACAGTACTGTTGAGTCTTCTGTCTGTGATGAAGGGTTGTTTCCTCGTGTCTGACTTCCTACTTGTTCAAAGACTCCTTTTTGGGGGAGAGGATGAATCTCTTCAACCTTACCCTGCCTTATCTCAGCCAGTAGTGTGACACAACCAAGCTCTCAGTAGTGTCCTTTGTGTTTTTATTAAAGGAACCTGGTAACCCTAGAAAGGGGCAAACTGAATCCTGAGCATGCTGATGTGCTACTTCCTGCCAGCCAATTCTCTAAATTCAGCCCCAATACTTCATTACCTTTGAAACCAGAGCCTGCACTTGACACACCCCACTTTCCTGTCTCCCTGGGGGAACTGTACCCTGGGACAGCCAGTCAAAGATTGTACAGATATGTTTTTTGAATGTTTTGAAGCCTCTGCTGTGTCTAGTGGAACTTTAGGCAGAGTCAGGGTTACTTTTTGGAGATGTGTATATTCTTTGTGGTTTTGGGGACGTTGTTCCCTTTGTCACTCCTTCTTGCTGGATTATTTATTTTTTTATTTTTAATTTTTTTAAATGTTTATTTATTTTTGAGAGAAAGAGAGATAGAGTGCAAGCAGGAGAGGGAGTAGGGAGAGGGAGACACAGAATCTGAAGCAGGTTCCAGGTTCTGAGCCGTCAGCACAGAGCCCGACGCGGGGCTCGAACTCATGGAGTGTGAGATCATGACCTGAGCTGAAGTCAGACGCTTAACCAATGGAGCCACCTGGGCACCTCTTGCTGGATTATTTTTTTAACATAAAGAAGTCTTACCTATTAGATTTGAAGCCCCTCTATTGAAATACTGGGTGTTATTTTTTAGTTTAGTTTAGTTTATCTACAATGTCTACCCACTGGAGCATAATCTGCTTTGCTGTTCCCATGGATAACAATTTAAACATCTCTGATTTTGTGTGAGGAGAACTACAAGTTAATAAAACAATATTTATAAATCAGCTTTACCCAAAGCAGTACTTATGGCTTTTAACAACCATTAAAAGTAAATAATAAGGGGCACCTGGGTGGCTCAGCCTTTTGAGCTTCCAACTTTGGCTCAGGTCATGATCTCACAGTTCATGGGTTTGAGCCCACATTGGGCTTTGTGCTGCTAGTACAGAACCTACTTCAATTCTCTGTCTCCCTCTCTCTCTCTGCCCCTCCCCCTCTTGTTCTCTCTCTCTCTCTCTCTCTCTCTCTCTCTCTCTCTCCCTCCCTCCCTCCCTCCCTCCCTCTCTCCCTCCCTCTTTCCCTCTCTCTCAAAAATAAATAAATGTTAAAAAAAAGAAAAAATTTGAGGCGCCTGGGTGGCTCAGTCGGTTAAGCATCTGACTTTGTCTTGGGTCATGATCTCACCATTTGTGGGTTCGAGCCCCATGTCAGGTTCTGTGCTGACAGCTTGGAGCCTGGAGCCTGCTTCAAATTCTGTGTGTGTCTCTCTCTTTGCCCCTCCCCTGCTCATGCTCTGTCTCTCTCTCTCTCTCTCTCTCTCTCTCTCAAAAATAAACACAAAAAATTTTTTTAAAAAAGGAAAAAATAATTCGTACCAACTCTGGAAGGCTAATATTAGGAACAAAGATTGTTCCAGTTTGAGAAACACGTAGCTGTAGGGAAGCACATCCTCTCTCTCCTCTGGGTCCAGAGCTAGTCCAAAGTTACTGAGGCTAGACAGGTGAGGTTTCTGTTGTCACTTGTGTGTTAACGCTGGGCTTTCAGTCCGCGTCATTTCCTATGGCACCAGAAGGCTCTGCTTCCTCCTTTATTTTGGGGACCTGTTGATGTCTTTCTTTTCACCTTTCCATCTTAGTTATTTCTTTACTATTTTTGTAATCTGGATGAGTACCCTACATTTTTTTTCTAGGTTTTGAGATTTGAGAAGACAGTTTTTTACTCCTTTGTTGGGGCACTGTTTGTTGTTATAAAATATAAGATGACAGGGGTCCCTGCATGGCTCAGTTTGTTAAACGTCTGACTCTTGATTTTGGCTCAGGTCATGATCTCATGGATCATGGGATTGAGCCCCACATTGGGCTCTGCACTGACAGCTTGGAGCCTGCTTGGGATTCTCTCTCTCTGTCCTCTCTGTCTCTCTCCCCCTCCCCCATTCATGTGCACATATTCTCTTTCTCTAAATAAATAAGTATTAAATAACATCTAAGATGACAAAAGCCTTATTTTCCCCTTAGTGTCTCTGCTTATAGCTTCATCTCTGTCCTCCTACCTCCCTTTTTAATCTATCATATTATTTTTCCTCACTCAGTTTCTTTCTTTTCTTTTCTTAGCTTCTCTCCACTCTTTCTTCCTTTCTTTTGTCTTCTCTGAGTTATGTCTCCATGTAGGAGCCAGGGACGTGTCAGAAAAAAACCCAAGGATGTGGGTCAGGGTCTCGGTTCTGTCTTGTACTGGTATGTGACCTTGTGCAACTCTTTAAACCAATTTAAATCTGAGTTTTCTCATCT